GTTTCATAATTCCACTACTCTGCTGCTCCATCCTTCCAGCAGCTCCACCCGTTTTAGGCACTCTTAGTCCCGCGTGGTGAGCTGGGAAGGTTTGAAAGGCCGGGAGTCTGCACAGAGGCACCATAAAGAATAAAAAAAACAGAAGATGCGAGCGTGACTGCTCTGGCTGTGAAATGAGAGAAGTTTGACTCGTAATCGGAAAAAAAAAGGCGCGATGCAACGTCTAACAGGCGAACATCCTGTGTGCGTCAGGGTTTACCGGGTAACTAAAGCTGTGGATGAAACAGCAGAACCTGAGGCAGACTCCAGCCTGTCTGATTAAAAAAAATAAAATAATTCCATGGCTTCATAGGAACAACTGTCCCTCTGATGCACAGCCCTGCCATGAGCCTACACACCGAACCTCCACACTGCTCACTCCATGCTCATTTATGTAAAACTGTCCATAAAAAGGTGCTGAATATGTAGATTAAAAGCAATCGTTCAAGAGCTGTGTGACGAATAAGAAACATGCAAAGTGCTTCAAAGGCCCGAGACGGGGTTCTAGAGTGCAATCCAAGTGGGAAGTATACAATTGGCTGTTTGCAGATTCTAGCAGAGGTTGGAAAGTTTTTAAAAAAGGGACCTTTTTTCTACCCATCAGACATTAATTAGGCCACATTCAAAACAAGCCAGGCCTCTGCACACTATCAAGTAACCGAGCGGTGTTCTGGGGTCAAGGTGCTCACTCAGGCAGCGAAAGTCTCCCCCCCACGTCCACCTGTGAGGGCCACCACGTATCCGTCATGTAATCATCACCATGGAGATTGGACGTCTCAGCTAGCAATAAACAGGCAACGCCGTGGGGCCGTGCAATGGAGGGCTGACTCACGTTGGCAGCTAATCGCGCAACACTCTGTTTGCCTCATCAACCGGCTGCATGACTCCCACCATCCTCAGAGCAATAAATGCAACACCGGAAAAAAAGGCCTACATGAACTCAAACGACTCCTGATTGGTGGAGACGCTCTGCTGGACCTCTCAAGTAAGTGGCACCAAACTGAATCTGCGTCTTTGGGACCCGCTATTTGCCAGGAGCAAATCTCCAATCCTCCTCTCCAAACTAGCCTCCCAGGCTGGTTGTTCTTCAACAGAAAACATTGAATGTTCGGTCAACCTTATCGACCACACTCACTTTATCATTCAAAAGTTCCTGGTGACAGCAGAACGATGCGTTTTCTATCTTTGAGGTATTTATGAAAGTCAGCTGAGCAGTTTTAGTAACAGCTGAGTCACCACACCTAGCTGGGAATGCACGAACCCTTCTCAAACGCCATGTTTAGATAGTACATGATATGAAACAACAAAGGGAACAAATAGGAGTGTAACCAATAGCTAAAGCCACCTTCTGAATATGCTTGATCAGCCAACTCAGTCATGTTAATTAGAATAATGATTATGTTGATGTAGAAAAGTCTAATACGCAATCACTTCCTAATGAGTGAATGACTGAGTGGATAGAATAGTTAGAATAAGGACAACTCTTTAGCCATTGGAAATACACCACCGCACCACAAGGGGAAGTTTACATTGTTGTATCCAGCAGTTGATCCGGAATCTCTAGTCCTCATATTGTTAGACATTACCATTTTCCCCATTGTTAAACATGGCTGTCTCCCTTTTCTGTCATGTGTTTGGTCCAGGGTCTCCTCGGAGATAATAAAGGAACCTCCTTTCCTGAGCATCCACTAAATCTGACCAGCTGTCCTCCTGGCTGCCTGTTAGATGTTTGTATGTCATTTCAGGAGTCTTGCAGATACAACAAAATACAAAGAAACAAGAGAATTATTCAAAAGCACCACATTTATCTGGATCTGAAGTATTAAATTGAATCTTGCTGTTTTTTCGCCTTGTCTTTTGTTTGTTTACCCTCCATTTAACCAGCTAGGATAAGTTCAGGAGTTTAGATCGGAGTCATCCCGCAGCAGCCGGGCTGCACTCAACCGGATTAGTTGGCAAAGACACTGATGACCGACGATCAATCGAACTGAGCTGGTGATCCGAAAGAGCCGGATAACTTCTGCCAAGCACCCCTGGGAGAGAGAGTTCACCGTATTCAGACAGCGGCTGTGGGCGGTGAGCGAGCCACCATGGAAGGAGAGCAACATGTCAGGGGCTGAGAGGTCTGTAAATAATTAGGGTGGTCATGATTCTGTTAGCTTAGATCCTAATGAATTATCATGAAAATAACAGAAAAGCAAGTCCCAGAGGATTTTTCTTTTGTATACAACTTCAGTACTGGAGAAATAACATTTAATACCTCCCACTATCAGCTAAATATGAGCATTTTATCATAAAGCTTAAGGTTTTTTTGGGAGGGTATTAAAGGTACTAAGGTTCTACTAAGAGGGACTGATGGAGATGACGTCACTTAAAGGTCGTAAATGATCAGACAGCTTTATCAAACGGCTGAAAACAGACTGTGGGATCGGGGCACTTCATGGCAGGTGAATGGAGACCTTTTTTTTCCTCCCTTCTCTTTATGTTGTCTCTTTTTTTTATTGTAAATCAAGACATTCATGACCGTTGTCCGCAGTCTTGAAACTACCTACGTTTTAAGTTGAGGATGTTCAGAATGTTGTGAGAAATTGGCAAGGAAAACCTGGTCATGACAGATGTGAAACCTTAAGTCTATCGTATTCTATTTGCCCCCGGTTTATTCATCCCTATCCCCCTGGACTGGTCATATTCCTACTGTTTGGGATATTACGTAATGTGCTTAGCCACTGTAAAGAGCAGGACTCTCTCAACCCTGTTTCCCGTCCTATTCCTTCCCTCTCTCTGATAAGTTTTCTGTCTTGTAGCAGGAAGAATCCACCTAGGAAGGCCTGTACATCTGGTTTTGACAGGGTTTGATTCCTTTTGGCTCCATGTAAGCTCTCAATGCTAATTGTTTCCAACAAGGATTGTATGATTGAATGAGAATGCAACAGTCAGCTCTCGGAACACCTTCCTAAACCTAACACACATGCCTGGTATTGATGTAAAAAGAAAAGAAAAAAGAAAAAAATAGGGTTGATGATAGTCTTTTGTCTTCAAAAGTGGCCCATGTCTGCTCATATTTGATCTGGTATCTTCATGCCCAACATATAATAAACCTTTGCAGGGCTAAAACTGTGCGTGTGATTTGTTATCATTACTCCTAATATAAAGTATTTCCAATTTGCCAAATCATAACAGAACGAAGCCACTTACTTTTCTCATTTCACATAATTTGCCAGGAAAGACTGAACAGTACTTTAACATTTGCGGACTCAACAAACTCAACTCATTCACAATAACTTATCAATTATCGTATAAAGGACACAAAAAAAGGAAAACTTACCTCTGACACACAGCAAAGACATGACAAAGCGCCTCCAACAAGAAGCCTGGAGTTTCACAGTTAGTAGCTTAAGAGGGCTCTCGGCGGAGATTTATTTTAGTGAGGTTACATTATAACATTCGTTGAAATACTTTCCTAAAAGTCCGGGTAAAATCCTTTTTTTCGGCGTTTACAGGTCGCTGACTGATGCCGGACACTGGCAGAGAGCAGATGCTCCCCGCCAAGTCCACGCCATTATTAAAACTCCCATCAAAGGTTTTTCAGACTGACGGACAGCACTTGTAGACCGAAACACCGCGGAGGGAGGGGCGCGAGACACGGGGTAGAAACACCTGTTACTGGCGTCTGAGCGGACCAATGAGAGAAAGGTGCTGCTGCTATGGGGCGGGACCTAGTTCAGAAATGTGACCTATCGCTGGCAAGAGCAAATTAGAATGAGGAACAGGTGACGCACAAGGATAACCGCCTGAAAGCATATCAAAAACTTCATCGAAAATATTTCGAAGTATTTTCAACCAAAACGTTTGGTTCTAACATTTTGTAATTTCAATGAGCCAACCCGAATATTATGTTTTTTTTATATAAAATAATTTTCGTCTGACTGAATGAAAGCTTGTGAAAATCAGAGCTCATGTAACAGTTTTTAGCCTATTATCACAAATCCCAAGTCCTCTGCTGGATTCTCTAATAAAGACATCCTTTACTCTGAGTTTACTGAAGATTGTTGTTGGCAGACAGAGATTTAACAATATCTAAAATATGTTTGGCAGAAGGAAAAAATGCGTAAAAGGCATTATTGTAAGCTTTAGGCCATTCTAAGCAAAGCAAAGTAAACAGCACCACTCTGTGGCTTTATTCGGTCATTACACTGGCATCGTGATCGTCATGGATAAAAAGCATTTCTTAACTGACCTAGTTTTACATTTAAGTTCTCCAGTTGTTGATTGTGAAGCCTTTTTGCTATCCAACGAAAATTAACCTTCGTATGAGCTGTGCAAGGCCCTACATAAGTAATAATCTTGATTTAAACTTGTATATAATATTCAGCATTGACAAGACCTTTCGAGATGTCAAAGATACATTTTGATTAATATGATCGCAGAATAGTTTCTGGATTGTTTCTATATGTGGCTTCTTCTTTCACAAAGCTTGAACCTACAACCTGTTGGTTCAGTTAACTTTGGCATTCATACGCAATAAACTGATGTTGTTTCTTGATCTATGCATGAATGAATCATATCTGTTTTTTCAATTTTGTAATGTGCACTTTTATTGATATATGTAAGAGAATTACAACTAGATCATGGAGATGCAGTAATGGTACTAGTAATGATATATAGTGATAATAGTGATATTATTTTATTAGCAGTGGAAGGGTTTGTGGCAATACATTTAGTATTAGTTATCATTTCATATTTCAAATTAATTCAAATTATTCATTCAAATTATTTTGAAACTGTCTTCTATCATACGTTTTGTCTTTAGTGCACATACAACGAGTTACATTATTTAAAGATAAAGAAAACCACAATTTCACCACCTTAGTGGGTTTTTCGTTGTGTTATGTTATTCGATATTTACGCGATGTGGGTTGATTGTTCCTTGTCTAGCGGAACCACCACCTCCCCGTTCTCTGCTCTGACGGAGTTGTTTAGGGTTGCACTACTGATGTAACTTTCACTTCCTGATTGGTAAGGGTCACTCACATGAGTGCAGAGTGTGGGACGTCTCGAGTTTTTTTCACCACATTTCTCATTAGTACTACGTTAGCATATTTAAAGTATGTTACGGACTTTGTGTCGGGCCGGTGGAGCCCTTTTACAGGTAAGTTTGACGTGATATCCTCGGCTGTTTCGCTCATGTAATCTGCCAGATACCGTAGTAAGTGTCATTCAGCGTGTATGGGCGGATTAATAACATACAAATACACTCTCATCCTAACGAAGAATGACTGAGCTCAACAATTACACAAGAGAGGTTGTTTCGATCTATTTTTTCTTACTATAAAAATGTCATTATTGAGCAGAAAACTATTCTAGCATATCCTAACGTAAAGCAGACTAAATATGTAACAAGGGAAAGCATTTTAATACACAATTTTGTGTAATTTACACAAAAACCTAGTAGATAGGGTTCTGATCTACACTATTTCTTCTTTCATATATCTAGTCCTTCGCAGTTTGAGGAATAAGTAAAGTTTTTTTTTCAAATAAAACCTATTATTACAATGCGAAATACATCTGAACTACATCATGTTACATTTGATCAAACGTAATACGTGAAGATGGTCCCCATTAGATTTTCTTTTCCCTTTTGTCAGTTTTGATCGTCTGACTATCATCATGGAAATTCCCAATTAATTCGAATGGACAATGATTTTTTAAATGACGAGATGAAATGATTATCCGATTTGGCTGTTTCTGATTCTGTTCTTCTTAAAGTTAATGAGTGTGATGATATTCGTCTTTGCAGCAGAGCCAGCGGACGGCACCGAGGCTGTGGGTCACCCCGGCTCAGCAGCGATGGGCCTCCAGCCTCCCCATGAACACAGTGGTCCTGTTCGTGCCCCAACAGGAAGCGTGGGTGGTGGAGAGGATGGGCCGCTTCCATCGCATCCTAGAGCCGGTATTTACATCTGAATTTGATTAACACAATAGAACATGACTTGTAAAACATCTCCATGTGCAAAAGGCTAATGTAAAACATCACTACTGAATGCATGTAGCCCTCAAACCCTCAGATGGGCCTGCATGATTGCTGTACACCTGATCAAAACAGCCATATAGGCCCAAGAGTAGCATTCAGGACTCAACACTTAGCGGCTGAATCTAGAAATTTTACATGAAACTATTTACCAATAAGGAAGCCTCGGGTGAGCTATGCGCAGACAGATCACTGAATTCTGAGCATGAGTTCTTCTAAGTGTAATTCCAATGGACCTTTAATCAAGCAGAGGAAATTTGGTGTTCAGCAAGTTTATAAATATTTGATCATTTTGGCAAAAACTCCCAACATTTGGGATTACCGTCTCCCAAAATGTTTTAAGAAATGGAAGAAAAGTAACACAATGGTAAGAGGCACATGTGTTGGTGGAGTCACATTATTGATTTGTTTATATTTTCTAATTGCATGGGAAGTTAAATTTGTATCAAAATGTCAAAGGAACGAGGACGTATCAAACACTGTGGTGGATCCTCTGAACACCTGCTGACATAGTTACCTGATTCTCTGTTGTTGTTTTTTTTGTCTCTAGGGTTTAAACTTACTTATCCCTGTACTTGACAAAATTCGCTACGTGCAAAGTCTCAAAGAAATTGTGATCGATGTCCCAGAGCAGTCTGCCGTGTCCTTAGGTGAGTAGCTTCCGATCCTTGTAATTTTTAATTGCACACAAAAATAAATTTTATTTTAATTGAAATCATGGATGTAGTGACGGTGGAATATCATTGTTTAATTGACACTTAGAAATTCTTATCTATTTTTTATTTTATTTTCTACTATAATATTGCAGATAATGTAACACTACAGATTGATGGAGTGCTCTACTTAAGGATCCTTGACCCTTTTAAGGTATGTCAGCTTCTAATTCTATCTCTAGGTAGATAGATAGATAGATAGAGTGTGTGTGTGTGTTTTGCTCTAACCTACGTCCCTTCTCTTAGGCCAGCTATGGCGTGGAGGATCCAGAGTACGCCGTCACACAGCTGGCACAGACCACCATGCGCTCGGAGCTGGGCAAACTTACTCTGGACAAGGTGTTCCGGGTAAAGACCAAAACTCCTCCTGCTCCTGCCATTCCTCCGTATTTGTGGTATGAAATGCTTTGTTTATGCGTGTTTATGTGCGCTGCCCCCCCTCCCAAGGAAAGGGAGTCCCTTAATGCCAACATGGTGCACTCCATCAACCAAGCTTCAGACGAGTGGGGGATCCGATGCCTCCGCTACGAAATCAAAGACATACACGTTCCTCCTCGTGTCAAAGAGTCAATGCAAATGCAGGTGAGGAGAATACGAGAATTAACAAGCCAAGGACACTTGTAGGCTGAATATAGGCATCATTGGGGCATTTTACAAGCGAAAGAACGAGTAAAAGAGCAGGATTTGGCTACTGAATGGTCCTCTTTTATTAGACTTTGGGCAGATTAGAACTTTGTGAGGATCAGAAACAGATGTGATGCATGCTTTTGATTTTGACTGTGTAGGTGGAGGCTGAGCGTAGGAAGAGAGCCACAGTGCTGGAGTCTGAAGGGTCAAGAGAGGCAGCCATCAATGTCGCCGAGGGCCGCAAACGAGCCCAGATCCTGGCCTCCGAGGGTGAAAAGGCTGAGCAGATCAATAAAGCCGCCGGTACGTGCATTTAGAGAGCCGACTGCTCTGCTTATCGACTATCCTAATAGCTTAATAGATCCCTTTGTTTCTTTCAGGTGAGGCCGAAGCAGTGCTAGCCAAAGCACAGGCCAAATCTAAGGCCATCCGCCTGCTGTCTGAGGCTCTGACTGAGCAGGTAAACGCTCTCTTCTGCTTTTTTTTTTGGACCAGACTGATCACAGAGCAGAATATTTAAGAAGTGGTTTGCTTTAATTTTTTCTCTTGTGTGCGTTAAACAGAACGGAAATCCAGCCGCCTCGCTCATGGTGGCCGAACAGTACGTGTCCGCCTTCTCCAACCTCGCCAAGCAGTCCAACACCATCCTTCTGCCCACCAACACCGGGGACATCACCGGAATGGTCTCACAGGTGGGTTTGAATACGTGCAGGCTCACAGCAAGTCCAAACGAATTACCTAATCAACACTTCTAACCCGTTTGGCTTCCACACAGGCTATGGCCATCTACGGCACGCTGGCAAAGACGAGCCCTGCCTTACCACCAGCTGGGGCCAGCGAGAAAAGGGAGGAGCTCCCAGAGCAGTCCGGATCACCAGAAGAGCAGAGGACTCAGTGATGAACTCAGAAGAAGAAGAAGAAGCGAACCACGGAACCAGATGAGGCCGTTTAAGTTGTGCGTTTTGAGGCATCGCCATGCGAGGAGCGTTCACAAACCACCTCCTGAGAGGATGAAACGGAGAAGCAGCTCGCCTTTACAGAGTCTGACGTGGAGCAATGGGATCCTGGGGACATCACTTGTTAAAGGATCCTCACCAAATGTTGTTTCTGTACAGTTATTAACGGACTCTGACTGGTCTGCCCACACATGGATGCAAACATTGTCCTCTCCTGACCTATCTCCTATGCCCAGTATACATATATGTATGTGTACATGTATGTATACTAGGTATGCGGGATGGAATTGTTTTTTGTTTTTTTTGTCATATGTGTAATCAAATATGCCCCTCTATCACTCACCCTAAAGTTGAAGAGAAACATCAAATTGTCTTTCATGTGTTTTCCCTCCCTTTCAATTCAATATTTCCCGACTGGGTAGAATAAATCCACTCAGGCTTGGTGGGATTGTCAGTTTTCATGTTGGCGCGGGAAAGCTTTCTGGTCCCTGCATCGATTTTGTTTTTGTTTAGTGACAATTCATCATCCAGATCAGTGGGACCAGACGCTTTGACCGAGAACCCAATCTCCCCACGAAAGGCTGGCATAATTTGTGCTTTCGATCTAGTTTTGACGATCCTTGCCATGAAAGGAAAATCTCTCAGCAAGTAGATCAAGACAAGTTATGTCAGAATACTTTCAAATGTAGTGTGGAAGAGAGTTCAAGTTGCTGGACATTTTGCAGTCAAAAAATGTTTTGGATCACTGAGGATCTACCATTTGGGATAATGAAAGTACTCATAAAAATAGTCATGGCACAATACATGTGTTCTTGGGAATGTTTGTTTTTTTAACTGCAAAGACCAGGTAGGGTAACTTATATAAGTATATAAATATATACATATAAATACAGTCCTTTGGTCAAATATTCCTGCCTTATGTTTTTTTTTCCCTCCACCTCTGATGTCTTAAAATGTGTGTTTAAAGTATCCTAAAGCAGAGATGTTTAAAAAAAATCTTTGGGAGAAATCCCGATCATCTGAGCTTGTGCCGACCGGAGAATTAACAATGCAGAACGCCGGATGATCATAAAAACATATTTTAAATTTTTTCTATACATGACTCATTATTTACCCACAAATAAAAGCGTTTCTCTGACTGGCATGGGTGCCCGAGGTTAAACAACACTACTATCGTCTTAAGGTCAATGACTCCTTAAAAGAAAGTTTCTAAGTTCCCAAAACATTGTAAATTGACAGATAACCAACCATAACGTAGTTTACTACAGTCCGACAGTTATTTGTTTAAACATGGGTAAATTAACTCTAGACTTCATTGATAATGTTCCAGGGTGCAGCCCCTCTATTTTGTCTTACGGGTATAAAAACGTGGCTAATATCTTATCTAATAGTCATTTAGGGAGGAAGGAAAAACCATCATCTTTAAAGGGTGTCTAAGAATCATATTACAGCTTTTGGTTATTCTGTGTAACGACTTGAGGCAGTTTGTACCTACAAGTCTCTAATTTGGGCGTTTGCTCACAATTGATGGTGTTACACGGAAAAAGGTCCGCCGTCCATTTCCGCCGGGGTTGCTTGCATGCTAAAGTTCCTGCCTGTCACAAACCGCCTAATCCCATTGTACCAGTCCCAATGAAGGTGAATGTGCAGCCTCGTTTTCTGTTTACCTGACACACCTGCACTCCCGTGTTGTTAACACACACATTCACGTCAGACGTCCGACCGAGAGAGGACGAAAACCCAACAGCTACAAGGTCAGTGTGAAAAGCCAAGTAACGTAGCCTCTGCTAACAACGTGGAATTACTATCGTTTTCGCCCCCTTAATTATAGTTAGTTTAGCGCGTGGTGTGCTAATTTATATGGACGTTACACTTTAATGTTTAGCTACCGTTGTCGGGTTCTCGTTTAGCATGTCCCACTGACGAATAACCTGCTTTCTTTGACTTCGTGTACCTTAATATTCCCTTCACTACCTGTGCGTTTAGAATGAAGGGGCTCCCGGTGCTGTGCCTGCTCCTGTGGACGTGCGCGGTGTACTTGGTGGGCATTTACCTCTTCGTCGGCGGGTTCCTGCTGGTGAGGCTGGAGGTGAACCGGACCAGCACCTGCGGGGACGTGCTGGAGCCCGGGGAGGAGCCGGTGGACTTCTGCCGCGCCCGGCCGCGCTTCCGCCGGGCTGTCGTCCTCATCATCGACGCCCTGAAGATCGACTTCGCCCGGTTCGACCCCAGCAAAAGCGATCCTCGACCCTACGAGAACAAGCTGCCCGTGCTGGAGGAGACGCTGTCCTCCAAGCCCTCCCAAAGCCGGCTGTACCCCTTCCGGGCAGACCCCCCCACCACCACCATGCAGAGGATCAAGGGCTTCACCACCGGGTCCTTACCCACCTTTGTGGATGTAGGCAATAACTTTGCGTCCAGTGCCATTTTAGAGGACAATCTCATCCACCAGCTTGGCCAAATGGGTGAGTTTGGACACATTCATATATATATTTTTTAATGCCTTTTCCCCCCCCTAACCTCCACTTTGATCAGTAAAGTGACTCAATCTATGAATCCCCGTTCAGGTAAACGAGTGGTGTTCATGGGGGATGACACTTGGGAGAGTCTTTTTCCTAAGAAGTTCCACCGCTCTCTGCCCTTCCCTTCGTTCAACGTCAAGGATCTACACACAGTCGATAACGGGATCCTTCAGCACCTCTACACAACCAGTATGTGTTTACTTCACTTCACAGTGAAGTGAAGCGTGCCGCTTTGCTTCTATATACCTTTTTCCACATACGTTTCTTTTTGTGTAATTTCTGTTTCTGTCCCTGTTGGTTTTAACAGTGGTGGGTGACAGCTGGGACGTTCTCGTGGCTCACTTTCTTGGCGTGGATCACTGCGGTCACAGGTTTGGCCCTGACCACCCGGCAATGGCTGACAAGCTCACTCAGATGGACCGAGTCATCAGGTCGGGCAAATAATACAGATGCTACACGTCTTTATGTAATTGTTTCATGGATTTGATAGCATCGATACAGTGTCTGTTCACTCAGTATCATAGAGAGCAAGAAAATTTAACATATTTGTAATATATTTATAATCTCACATGGGGAGATTGAAGCAGTGGTGTTGAATGCTACCCATAGCTTTGAGCTTTACATTTAAGGTGAGCAACTTTACCAAAGAAAAAGCTGTGATCCATGTGACTTGTGCGACTTGTATGGGGAAGAAATAATACAAATTACTACCGGATTTTAATCTCTCTTCTTGTATCTGTTTTTTTCCTTCCAGGTCTGTGATTGACCGTCTGCAGAATGACACCCTCTTGGTACTGATGGGAGATCATGGCATGACGGACACAGGAGATCACGGTGGAGAAAGTCAGAAGGAGACAGACGCTGCCCTTTTCCTTTACAGTCCTTCTCCTATCTTTCCAGGACCACCGTCTCAGGTTGGCAGATCTCCGTTTTCTGACATGAAATGTGTCAAAGAACGCAGCAGCATGAAGACACGTTTTCAAATTGGCATCCGCTAATCTGCGTGGACCTTTATGTCTGGACTGGGTTCTCTGGCATCCTTCTCCAGTCAAAAGATGTACACGTAAAAGTCTGTTTGTTTATTTGCAGATGGATCCAGATGTGGTGCCCCAGACAGACCTGGTGCCCACCCTGGCTCTGCTGCTGGGCATCCCAATCCCGTACAGCAGCGTGGGGCAGGTGCTCCTACCTTTATTCCATCCCCCCGGCGTGGCCGGAGGTGCAGTGGGAGGTCTCAGCCAGCTGGAGGCGCTGTGGATCAACGTAAAGCAGGTAGTCGGCTCCAGGAGGTAGCAAAACTTCAATTTTAATTATTTTTTCTTTCAATCTCTCCATAAAGACACAGTTTCAACATGTCTTCAGACTTTTTCAGTAATTTTCTTTTTTCCTCTCTTTTTGCATTCAACCTCCCCCTCTGTGTGCGAAGGTTAACCGTTTCCTGGAGACATATTCTGGAATGGCCAAAGACATTGCGCCAGAGAGCCTCTCTCAACTGAAGGAACAGTTTGCCCGCATCTCCTCTGACTACCTCAGCTCTGTGAGGGAGGGCCGGCCCCCCTCCGCACAGCTGGCCTCCTCCCTGCAGGCCTACCTCACCGCGGTCAGAGACACCTGCCGGGCCACCTGGGCCCGGTTCAACCCCCTGAAGATGGCGGCGGGGTTAGCCATCCTGGGATTCGCGTGTCTGATGTGCTTCGTCCTGTCCGAGCTGTCCCTGCCGCTGATCCAGGAGGCCGGAGCCGGACTGAAGGCGCCCGCCGCCGTGGCGCTGGCGGCAGGGGCCAGCGTGGCCGCCGCCCAGCTGCTAACACGGGGACACGCCGAGGCGGCGTGGTGCCTGGCGGCGGGCGCCTTCTGCTCCGAGCTCTTCTTCTTCTGGACGGCACGCCGCCTCAACGCGCCCGCCGTGCTAAAGAACGGGACCAAAGCGGGGAAGTCCGGCAGGTGGCTGACCGCGCGCCGCCTGCTGGTCCCTCCCCTCGTGGTGCCGCTGCTCCGCTGCGCCTCGCTGCTCTCGGACAGCTACGTGATCGCCGAGGGCCGCGTGGTCACCTTCCTGCTCTTCTCCCTGGCCCTCTACATTCCCATCCACCTGAACTGGGACGGCCTGCTCCTGCCCCCCAGCCCCGACCCCCTGAAGACCGCCGGGCTCCTGCCCTCCCCGGCTCTGTCCCCGTCCACGGTGAGGAAGGAGAGCTGCGCCCTGCTGGCCTGCTCGGGGCTCCTGATCGGCAGCCTGTTCCTCTCCCTGTCCTTCCACGGCTGCCGGGAGGAGCAGGGCCTCTGCCAGCCCTCGCCGTTCCTCTCCTCGCTGTCGCGGCTGCAGGACAGCCAGATAAAGAACCTGCACTACATCCTCTCCGTGGTGTCCCTGGGCATCTGCACATATCTGCTGCGGCACTGCCTGTGCCACTACGGGAACCTCAACGCCTCCGGGGGGGCCGTGTTCGCGGCCCGCTGGGTCCTGCCGCTGCTCTCCGTGTGCCTGGGGCTGCACTGGGCGGTCAGCGCCACGCCGGAGGACAGCTTCCGCAACCTGGCCGAGCTGATCCGGCTGGCGCAGCTGGCCCTGCCGCGCGCCGCCTTCTGCCTGCTGGGGCTGGGGCTGGGCCTGATCTGGCTGGACCCCCTCACCGTGTTCGTGAAGGCCAGGGCGGCGGGCTCGGCCCGGGGCGCGCACCTGCCCCCGCCCCGCTACCGCGCCAGCACCGGCATCAGCCCCCAGGCCGAGCTGCACCACCTCATCCCGCAGATCTACCAGCGCATGCGCCGCTCCCTGGAGGACGGCGAGCCCGCCGGCGGCGGCGGCGAGGCGGACGGCAGGCCGGCCGTGGAGGCCTACGGACTGGGGACGGTCTACTCCGCCCCTCTGCTGCTGTTCGGGGGCCTGCTGGGAATCGGACTGCTGCTGCTCCACCCGGAGGGCATGGCCGCCTCCTTCCTCCTGCTGCTCCTGGAAATGGGAGCCCTGTTGTACATCCACGCCTCCTCCATCACCCTCAGCGGCCTGCAGGGAGCTTATTCAGGTGAGGCGCACCCTCCTTTTTACTCGTCACACACTCGGCGTCCGTGTGACAAACCCCCCCCCTTCCCCACGACCTCTCGCTGTCGCCCTCAGGTGGTTTCAACGTGCCCTGGACCCCCGTCGTGCTGTGGTCGCTGGCCGCCACCCAGTTCTTTCACGCCACCGGTCACCTGCCCACATTCCCCTCCATCCAGTGGTCCGCTGCCTTCGTGGGCTTCCCCAACGGACACACAGGCACCATAGTACCCGCCTCACTGGTTACCCTGAACACGTTCGCCTCACACATCCTATTTGCAGGTAGGGTTATTTTCTCTAGAGAAGCAAAAATAAATAGTTGGTTGCTTTTTGCTGCCCTCCAAAAGTAAACCCCACCCGAGAAAGATCTGATTATGTCTGTGTATTGTAGAAATGTTGCAGTATTGCTTGGTTGCCCCAGCTGAGAGCAGACATTTTATTTTTGTTCTCGTTGCTGCCTCTCTGCCTGCAGTGAGCTGCCCGCTGCTGCTGTTCTGGCCGCTGGTGTGCGAGGTGCGCGGGAGCAGAGGAGGCCGGGGCGGGGGGGAGGACGGGGAGGATGCTGTGATGGAGATGAGACTGAGGGAAAACCCCCAACAGTTCAGCTCGGCCCTCCTGCAGCTCTCGACACGCTACCTCTTTATCCTGGGAGCACAGGTCTGTTCCCCGCTACAAATCGCAGGCTTTTTAAGCCGATGGAGGCCGTGAGCCTCGAGGAGGAACTCTCACAGCTCTCCTGCTTTTTCCATTTGTTCTGCTTCTAAATGTGCACCGGCGTCACCACAAACCCCTCTGCTCTCTCGGTAGGTTTTCTCCTCCGTCTGTGCGGCTGCGATCCTCAGGAGACACCTAATGGTGTGGAAGGTTTTTGCACCCAAGTAAGTGCCTGGATAGATTTCCTGTCCTCACACAAACAACAAAGGTTTTTGAGAGTGTTTACTTTTCAGTGAAAATACAGCAGGGAAAGCAAGCCCTCTCGCCTACTCCCTCTAATAGCGGCTGTTTGAAGTTTGAGGGAGTTGTGGGAATTTAAGGGACCCGACTAAAGGTGTTCGAAAATTGGAAAAGTTTCAATTTAAAAATATCAAAATGGTTAAAAAATAATCAAACTTCAATACAAAATAACTTAAATAATAAATAACTTAGATTTGGGCCCGACTGAACCAAGATTAACTAAGATAAACAGTAACAAAATGCCAAAAAAACTCAAAGACAATCCAGAGCCGTTTAAAAAGGGGTGAAATAACCTCAATTTTCCACATGAGGGAGGTACAACATAACACAGGAACAACAAACCAAAAAAACACACAAAAACTAGCATAATTAAATCGAGCTAAATCATCTTTAACTTGACACAAACAAGTGAATATTAAAATGATAAAATACCTAAGGTCAACTTCAACAAATAAAGCTCCCCCCCTTTAGTCTTTTGGAATAATGGTATGTTCCTTCTACCTCCAGCTGGTTTGTGTTTGCAGAACCTAAATCATTCCCCATTCACACAAATATGAACTAAAGTGTGCACCAATTAGAAAATATATGTCTAGAATAAATAACTTGATGTTAACTTATGTATAGTGTCATGTGCAACTAATAAATGGAAATGATGAAAAATCACTACTAAGACTTAGTGGTGGTAGAAGCATCCACCACCGGGAACTCGTAACTTTTCCCCGTGTCTTCCTGCAGGTTGATGTTCGAGGCCTCGGGCTTCCTGATGAGCTGCCTGTTCCTGCTGGTCGGGGTCACCTTAGTGCTGAGGGTGGACGTGGCTGTCGGCCGTTGGTTTAAAAGACTCGTCCCCGATGCGTCCAGGTAGCAGCGACCCACCGGACAGAGTGGCCCCAGAGCTTCACTGTGCCACAGAAAAACTCAGCCATCAGTGGTGGGAAGCCCCACAGAGATGTCCCCTGGAGTTTTTCCCAGCTGAGAACTCTGCAGTCCGCTTTGGTATCGAGCGACTCAAGGATGTGAAATCTTGAGCTGACCAAGCATTTGGACTTTTTATATTTTTGGATTAAACTGCCACTCAAAGGGGGAAGCCTTTAAAGGTCTTTCTACCATGAATTCCACGAGGATAGGAGCGGCTTTCACCGATTGTTTCTCGTGTTTTTCGAAGTTCTGGATGAGAGCCTGCCAAAGCGGTCAGCAGGCAGGTGGTTATCAAAGCATAAGTCAGAAAAAAAGCAGGAAAAAAAAAATCCAGCGCCTGTCAGAGTTTGGACACGCGTGAGCGGGCAAACTTTACACGGGCACTGCACGTCCAGTTTACAAACCACTCGCTGCCACCGTGACTCAAAAACCTCAAGAGTTAAAGAAGTTCGGCCTTTTAAGCTTCCAGGGCTTTTTTTCCTTTTTACAGTGGAGCTGAATGTAGACTCACATTCTGCACAGTGGCTCACGGATATGAAGTCATCTTTAAAATGAAAGCGTTCAGAAAAAAAACACTTTCACATGCTGTTTCTTGTTTCTTTAGTCTGTTTGTGGCATTAACGAGCGGTTCGATGTCAGTGTCCCGGTCTGTAAGAGCTAATCCACCAGCCAATATTTGGAGCTACTTAAAGTTCAGTTTGCAAACAGCGTTCATCATTCGGTGAAATCCATCCAAGTGCTTTACAGTCTGTCTGTCACGTGTCTGTTGGAGGAACTTCTAAAATCTTATTTTTTAACATATTTTTTGTATGTTTTGTATTCTCGACTCCATTGAAATGACCAGCATGTCTGGTGACTGCCAACTAACATTACTGCATAGCCATTCATGTTTTTCACACAGCTGTTGACTCGAGTTAAATTATGTATTTTTTGTGGTAGGGTTGTGTTCATTAATTCTAATGGTAACGATTTTTAACATTTTAATCACCTTTTCACCTGTTTTCTCATTTTAATTCAGGCTTCCGTTCCCGCTCTGAATAGGTGCCTAACTTATATGCCTTTTTTTTTTTCTTTTTTTCGGAGACGGGGAGTCTCCGCAGTGTAATTAAGTTGATTGGGGGGGTAATTAAATCCAGAAACGTATCGAGTCGATTTATTTCTGCCGGGGTTATCAGAGTCGGTCCCCGCTTGAAGATTTGTGGCCGCGGCTGCGGTCAGCAGCTCGCGCTCATCAGCTAATGGTTGGATATCCAACTCTTCCAAGTCGGCCATTTTGATTACTTCATATGACTAGCAGCTTTCTGAGGTGGAAACTTAACTTTACTGTCAATATGAAATTGGAAGACAAACTATGTCCTAACCCTAACCCTCCACCCTTCATAATTGTGAGAAAGAAATATTTTTAGGTTAAATTTGTTTGGACTTATTGTATACACCTATTTAACATACACAATTTTACGCTAATAATATGCATAGAGTTGAGTTCAGTGTTTGCAAGATTAATTGAACTATTTTTAAATTAATGTCTATTTTGCCATGAGGCAATGACTATTTTCTTGCCTATTTTCCTATTGGTGACGTAATCAAAATGGCCGACTTAGACGTAGGCGGAGTTGGATATTCCTCCTTGGCTTCCTGCAGTCTGCAGCGATATGTTCTTGCCTCAGGCCGGGGATGCGTTTTTTTGTTGTTTTTTTTTTCAGTTTGGCGCACGAATGGCCGGTTGATTGAATGGTCTTCCATTTTGTGAAAACTGTAATAAAACTTTTCTACACCACGCTTCGGCCTGACGATAATTCCCCAGTTTGCGGACAGGAAACGAGGCCACGCCGCCCGCCGTGTGGAGTTTGTGTGTTTTCTCCAGGCCCATGTGGGTTCTTTACAGACCTTCTACCCGCTTCTCGGTTATTACCGACTACACTGGCGTTGGACTGAGTGGTGATTCTAAATTGTCTGGCGCCATGGAACAGAAGCAGGGTGGATTTGAGTGATCCACTTTGATCCTGTCATCTGCACACTACACAGTATTCCTCCAAATGAGTTGTGACATGTTTTTCTGTTGACTAAAGACATTAATTGACGAGAGTCAAGCTCTTTATTGAATGTACCATATCTATTATTATCCCTGACTTTCTTTTTCCTCCATCCTTATGTCTTTATTCGTATGTTTTATCTGTGGCTGGGAAAAAACTAATTGTTATTTTTAAAACATAAAGGCCTGATCTCTCTTGTGACTGTGAATTTAGAAAAGCAAATGGAATGTGTGTTTTTTTTCTGGGAAATATTGAATGTTCCAACACTGGACTGTGTTCACAAAGCACAACATTAAAATATCTTTTTGGGATATATTGAGGTTTTGGACCTGCAGTGTTGAGTTCTTATGGATTTTTTATGGTCATTTCCCAGCATGTGTCACAAGCATCTCCATCACTGGTGGTCCAGGCAATAAACCCGCCCGCATAGTTTCTTAACTGCTGTGGTATGATGGTAAAACATGTCAGATTTGATACAGACACTTCAAATTAAATGGAATAGATCACCATTTGCCATGTAGATGGCACTGGAGCGGCTCTGGTAATGGAAAGTGCCACAGCCTTGCTTTGGAAACCAGAGTTTGATCCGAGGAGAAATTCCCATTGACGGTTAAAAAATGAAAAGAGATGGAGGAAGAAACCTCAAAAGATCAATAATGCATTATACAGCAACAACAACAACAAAAACATGCTTTAAAGAAAGATCCACTTCACATTGAAAAGAATAAAGTTGGCAAGGGGGGTAATCAGATGAGAGATTGAAATAAAAAATGCACTATACATAATCATCGCTCCCGTAAAAGCTTAAAAGCAACTTCTCAGCAGCACTGATGAAAACCTTTGAACCCTTTGAACCTCTCATTATTCTGAGTGCGTAACATCCCCACGATTGCCAACCTTTCATCCCAAACATGAAATCTTCTCTAATTGCTCATCATTACTGAATCTTTGGACAACTGTCCCCGTATTTAAGCGAGCGTCAGCCATTACACTCACGGACATTTGAAAAATGGGGAAATAAGTCATCAGACTTGTCTTTGATGTCGATGCTTCTGAGCATTAGTGTGTGACTTAAAAATGTCCATTATCACCTTTTGTAGTTCTTTCAAACAGAATGGCAGAGGGTGTACTGTGGTTCTATACTTGTTTATTTTAATGGAGGAACAGTTCCAGTTATCACAGCATTAATTGGGGCTCACTTGGAAGCTATGTTCTGCCATATATTGAGTATCCAGTCTGATTAGTTTGGGTGAAAATAATCTGTTTCATGTAAAGAAGATAGGACCCCCCCTCCTATTAAAACTCTTTCAGCACACAGAATAGGACTTTAAAAAGTGTTATTTCCTCAAGCAGCGGAAAAAAAGAACTAGCTGAAAATTTGTTACAGCCCTCAGGTCAACCAGACTGTGCAAAACAAAGAACAGCCACGAGCTTTCATCTTCTGAAAATGTTTTCTCCCAAATGGGCCATTTCTCAATCCACTGGTGTCAAATGTATCGGACAAAAGCAGCCCGACTCACAGAGGCCTTATCTCACAGCTAACTAGAAATAAAACATCTCTAAGGAGTGGGTTTTGTTGTTCTGTTCCTTTTTTAGCCCCTCTTACAAACGGAAGACCCGACAGCAAACAGCTCAGTGACAGCCCAAGTGCTTTTATAAATTTCAGTTTGGTTTCTTCCAGTTTCAGGTCTTTTTTATGGAGTTTGGTAATGTGATGTGTGGTTTGTTTGGTGTTTGTTTGGCTTTCCATGTGTTCCATGGACGTATTAGATAAATCAAACAATGGCCTGATATAACAAATATTACTCAAACCCGGGCTGCATAACAGCAAACATCTCCAATCACAAGTTTAATAGGTTCCCCGGTTGATAACGCCCTGCTGTACACCAATCATGAACACGTAATGAATACTACTGAGACCACATATTTGTGGTTTCTAGAAAATGAATGGGGACTGGGTACTATTCTAAACTAAGATCATGACTGTGCCTGGTCAGACTCTGACGTTGGGCGCCTTGGACACAGTTGGAGGTTACCTCCAGCTAAACCATCTAAAAGGGATCGAGTGCATTTTCCCATGGGGAACAAATTCACTTGTTTTGCTCTCTTGCTATGTTCAACATCCACTAAAGTGTCCAAGCGTCTAATGGAACATGAATCAGGAAGTAACAGATAGTTGCTGCTACTTCACTTGGATATATTTAACAACTTATCTCAGAGGAATTACCCTGGTACAATAAGCAATAATGGACGTCTGATATTCAGTTTCATGTGCAATTTACTGATGTTGGACGTTACATAAGCACATATATGCAAGTATCAGGAACACAAGCTGCTCTCTAATGAAAGCAACACAGAACATGGGACCACCAGAGATGGTTGGCAGGGTCATGTGCAGATTTTCCGTCTCCCTTTGAAAAGAGAGGAGGACCTGAACCCTGGGAAGTTTTCAGATTTCAGGTTTCATATGCGCTTTTCATTTTGAGCTTTAATATGGAGGTCAGTTTATATGAGTACTGTGAGGAAGGCAGTAATGAAAGGAAAAGCCATTAGCTGTGCCTGTGAGAAGCAACTCCTTGTTTATTTCATGAGCAGACAATCATCCAGAAATCAGATGGAGATAATGATTGGAGTACAAATGACATATTCCCATGGCAGCGGCCCAGCAGAGCATTTTGAACGATTTAATATTTCATAAGACTTCTTCCTCATGTAATGGAAACATCATGTTTGAGAGTGACGCAAATTCATCACAAGGAAAGCGAATCTATCACAGCCTAAAACGAAGTGGAAATAAACCCACAAGACACTAGCCATTTAATGGAGTTGTGCATTTTTCAAGAAAAAATAAATGTGTCAGAGGAAACGTGGCGATATGATGGTAATTGACGTGTTTTTCATTAAAGGCACAGACGTCAGATAAAGATAC